CTCCCAAATAGTCACCTTTCCCAGCGAATTTGCCACAGAGATAGAGGGGGAGGGAGGGGGGGGAGCGGCCTGCTTGTTCCAGACGCCGGTGTTATCGTTTCTGTTCTTGTATATAGTGCGATGCTACAATTGCTATACCTGCAACGGTTGCTATTTCTGTGGACCGACTGCATGCAGGCAACAAGCTACACGCTGTCCTCCTGCTTGGATGCAAATGGCAAAGAGTTGGGCACTCCGCTGCCGCCAGAAGTTGCAAGTGTGGGCCCCAAGTTGCAGTGGGAATGTGAGAGCAAGAGCCGACGTCCGTGCATCTGACAGGACGAGTCCGATGAACATATGCTCTGTTCTTGTGTTTTTTGCACGTCATCGCCTTTAGTGGAGAGTTGTCCTACTAACTTACAAGCCGCTGTGTGTTCTGCGCTTTGGGTGTGATTGGATGGTAGTTTGAGCTTGACTTCATTTTCAACAGTGCAAGAGACGCTTGGGTCGGCTTCGCAAGGTGCTGCACGAGAGGTCTTTGCAACAGCACTCAGCTGGCGTGCGGCCGAACGGCTCGCCGCCTTTCTAGCGGAACTGCCAGAAAGCGAAAGGCAAGGGCAGCAGGGATCAGGGCTCAAGAATGTTGAAGGTTAGGACCTCATTTTCTCCCCAGTGTGGCTGCAGGCGAGAGGTCCGACGGCTGTGTCTGTTTGACACCCGCCTGGAGACCGTGTGCACGGTGCCGAATGAGACATCATCGGTACCACCAAACACTACAGACACGCTCCTCCTCAAGGCAGGGGAGGAAACTTCAAGGAACCCAAGTGAGTCCGCTGAGTCGACTTCCGTCTGGACGTGGGCTGCCGAGTCACGCGAGATGGCCGTGCTTTGCACTCGGACCTCTCCTTTCTTTCTCGGCGCCCTACTTTTCAAGCTTCCTGAGAAGAGCCCCGGTGGTCACGCGCCTGGAGATCCCGAAGGGGAAGGCAGGAAGGGGGTGCTGGGACAGTGGCTTCCGTTGCTTTTGGACTGCAGCATGTCGAGAAGCTGTGTACGAAGCCCAGCAAACCCAAAGCCAGAAGAAGCCAAAGCCGAGGCCATCCCAGGCTTAGGTGCGAGACCCTCATTCGACACAGTCGTATACTCGCTAAGCCACCGAAAAATGGCACACCAACCGGGCACAATATGCCCGAAGAGCTTCTTCTTATTCATGCTTGGGTACATGCAAGTCGGCTCTAGTTTGAAAGCCTTCCGTGAGAGATTGCGCGCTCCAGGGCTGATCAGCCGCGTGTCCTTCGACCACCTCGACCACCTGCCAATATTCCGAGGCTGGAGGTTTAGGGTTTTGGGTTTTTTTGGTTTAGGGTAGGGTTTAGGGTTTAGGGCTTAGGGCTTAGGGTTTAGGGAGTTTAGGGAGTTTAGGGAGTTTAGGGAGTTTAGGGAGTTTAGGGAGTTTAGGGAGTTTAGGGAGTTTAGGGAGTTTAGGGAGTTTAGGGAGTTTAGGGAGTTTAGGGAGTTTAGGGAGTTTAGGGGGTTTAGGGGGTTTAGGGTTTTTGGGTTTGGGGTTTAGGATTTAGGGTTTAGGGCTCCAGGGTGGTTTTCTCCTGCTACATGTCCTTTCACAGTCTTTAGGCAGCCGAAGAAGGCTCGGAAACACTGACCAAAACCGCGCTGTTTGGGGCTCCATTTTCTTTGCATTGTGGAAGTGTTTGGTGTGGGTCACCCGAGAATGTAGCGCCCAGCTCATGCAGGAAGGAGCTGGAGAATCTCAAACGTAATACATTTTTGTTTGGCTGCCAAACGTTGGGGAAAGTATATGTAGCGATAAAAGCAGAAAGTCCGATTTTACCCGGGCTTGACGAAGCAGGAGCATGTCAAGCCCGGTTTCAGCACTGAGTCCGCAGGGGAGCGAGCGAGAGCGAGCGAGAGAGAGAGAGAGAGCGAGAAGAAAGAAAGAAAGAAAGAGCGAGAGAGAGAGACAGAGAGAGAGAAAGAGAGCGAGAGAGAGAAAGAGAGCGAGAGAGAGAGGGAGGGGGGTGCTGCTGTGAAAAGAGGGCTTTGGCCCCTTGCTCCCCAGGCCGCCTTGAGGACTTGGCCCTCAGTTTCTGTGACAAGCTTGGCCTTCCGTCAAAGCACCTTGACAAGAGATGTCAAGCCCCCTGCTTACAAAAGTAAAGCCCCCCCCCCTCCCCCAAACCACTGATCCATCACAATATTCACCATTGTGGGAATGTTGAGGGGGTGTGGTGCTACCGGGCGGCATGGCACGAGCAGCTTCACTGGTTGCTTTGACATCACCCGAGGCCGGAATGAGCCGCAGCTGCAAGGGGAGGAAATGTCCGGACCTGTTTCTCGGTGCCTTTCTCGGTGGCCCCCAGGTTTTCAACCACCCACTGGGTGGTTTTCTTTTCCGCCGCCCTGTTTCTGAGTTTTACATGTGATCGCCTGGTGGCAGCTTCTAGCCCAGGAGCTGGCGGGGCTGGAATTGTGGAATTCTAGCCACGGCTTAAAACAAGCCCTTTGAAGAGCAGTGACAAAAAGAAGATGTGCAAACTGCTGCAAACCGGAACCACCCGACAGCCGCAAAATGCTGGTCTGAAGGGGCCTTCATGGTGTAGCCTTTGTAGCCTTGAGGCTGCTGGTAGCATTGTGATGGCCGTCTTCCAGGGCACCGAGGAGGTGGATGAGCTGACTTGAGTTTCAGCACAGGGCATCTGTACACCTGGCAAGTGGACTGCAGACAGTGGCTGGAGACATCTCGGAGAGAAAGCTCACACAGGAGACCCATGACCTCTCCGCAGCCTCTAGACACTACTATGTTACAAAGCCCCGTAAGCCCTGAACCATGCTCCCTGCAGTGTGGCACAACAGCCCACATCCCTACAACAGCCTCAACAAAAGCCGGTCCTCCCCAAAAAACTCGTGTCCCCTTCACCCGGGCACTGGCGACATGGGGCCGCATGACGTGCAGCGGATGCCCTGAGGGCCGATGTTCTGCAGGCACGAGGCTTTTTGCCATCCCTGAGAGCTGAGAAAAATTGTTGGGGGCTCAAGTGTTCTACTGAGTCTACTGGGCCCTTCTTGAGCAGGTGCTGCTGCGAAGCAGCCGTGGACCTAGATGATCTCGGCGTTGTTCAACTGTGAGTGTGCTCCGCCAGGGTGATGCGTGTACGTGTGGGTGCGGGTGTGGGTGTGAGTGTGGCCAAGATGATGCAGGGGGCTCACACAGAGCCTAGTCAGGTGTAGGGCGATGACGCTGTGGATGTTCAGGGGTTCCAAGGAGCCACGGCCCCAACTGGAGAAGGTCGTTGCGCACCAGACACTCAACGTCTCAGCCTTGGCATCTGTGTCCTTCTCGGGAAGCAGGGTGGGAGCCTGGCCGGCATGGGTGATGCACAGACAAGAAGCCGAACCTCTTTCTCCCATTGGGGTAGGCATTCATGTTGCCCGCTATGAAAATCTGGGCAGGTTGACAACGCCGGGAGCACCCTCGAACTCCCTCATGTCCTCAAGTTGGGGCTTTCTCCAGTCAGGGACCGGTGTGTGTGTGTGTGTGCTTTGGTTCAGCCTTCTGCTACTGTGAACTACTGTGTCTCATGTCATGGCTCAGTAGCATCACTCCTGCTATCGTAGCCGTTTAAAGCCGTTAGGAGGAGCCGGGGCAGGAGACGCCACAGAGTCGGAGCCACCTGGTCCAAAATAGGCAGCATCAGTGTGCTTCGTGGTGCACTTGCAGCATGATCGCGTAGACTCACTACCAATACCACAGAATCTGGAACCGCCCAAGGTGGTGGTTGGGCCGCTCGCTTGCAGACATTGGTTTTTGATGCTTCCCAGATTCTCTGGGAGAAGCAGTGAGAGCCGATTTTCTAAGGAGTACAGCACGGCCCGAGTTCATTACACCCTCGGCTCCCAGCTTGGCCTTATGCTGGATGTTTCAGCCTGGCTCCTACTCGACACGTGCATGTTCTGATCCCACAATCGCGTGCCTCACCACAGTGGTGTGCAAACCCAAGCAGCCCGACTTCGCACTCGCCCCCATTTTTTGCGATGTCTGGGCACAGCGACTCTGCATTGCGATGCGAAGCCTTTCGGAGCAGGAGCAGGAGCAGGAGCAGGAGCAGGAGCAGGAGGAGGAGGAGGAGGAGGAGGAGGAGGGAGGAGGAGGGAGGAGGAGGGAGGAGGAGGGAGGAGGGAGGAGGAGGAGGAGGAGGATAGTGCTGACGACAGAGCGCTGCACTGGGAGAGCCGAATGTGTTCATGGCTCGAGGACGAGCGCCTTAAATCGATTGCTGCTCTCCCGTTGCTCTCTCCACCTCTTCCTTTGTTTATCGGGTCGAAGCACTATGTCCCTCTCACGCACGCAGCATTGCGCAGTCCTGCAAAGCCAACCGATTCAATGCCCGGATTTCAGAAAATTGAAGGTTCATGTCTAGGAGGCACATGGAGCCGATTGGTGCTTGCCCGCTAAGAACCCGGAGTGCTGCTTGGTGAAGGTGCGGCGAGAGCATACCACTTTGATAGAGCACACCGCCCAGCCACAAAGATCTGCGCAGGGCATCAATCCGGAGGGGCTGCTGGCCAAGTGTGCCACATATCCTCCCGGCAAGGCCAGGCGGCTTCCCCTTCTTACGTTGAAGACCGTTGCAGGCACCACATCCCCAAACCCTGTAAAGTTTCCAGAGTCTCCGGCTGCGTAGGCAGCAAAGAAAATGCCTAGACCCCAAAACCTGAACGAGAGCAATTTCTCGATCTCGCAGAACGGCCCACCAACCAGAGACCGAAATGTAGGGAAGTGTAGTTTCGGCATGCATAGGCATCAACCAAGAACATCAATCCCTTCCCCCTAATACTAAAACCCCTCCCCCCCCCCCCTCCCTAATTCTGAAATTCGCCTGGGCCTGAAAAATATTCAAAATTAGGGGGGGTCTAAATCCTAAAACCTGAATTCCGAAACCCCTGATGGCTCAACTCAAGGGCGAAGGCCCTGAACCCCTCCCCCCCTAAATCCCAAACAGGTTTAGTATTGGGCTGGGTGCCGGCAGGGCCCGGCAAAAATAATATTTAAATTTAGGGGGGGTTTTAGTATTAGGGGGAAGGGATCAGTAGGCAAAAACCCTCCAATGTACACCCCAACCGGTGAGGCGATTCCATTTGCCACCGATGGGAAGCGTAGGCGAACCCCCGAAAGTCGTTCAACCAGCCCATGCAGCCCATGCAACTGAAGTGTGCAGGTAATCAGCCAATGGATGCGCCTTTGGGCAGTGAACGGAATGCGAGGCAGCAGCGAGGCGTGGCTCAGAAAGCCTGAGAAGTCAGGTTTTTGACCCGCCCCAGCTGTTGCAGGACCTTGTGGGCAAGATCGAAGAGATCTATTGCCTCGACGGCCTGCTGGACTGGCAAGTCTTTGGGTGTTTCTGAACTTCTGCTGAGCCCACCAAACTTTCTTGGAGAATTCCCCTGACCTTCTCAGATTAAGCAACTGCTGGCATGCGAGAGACAGATATTAGTTGTGTGTGGGGGCCCGGTCGGAGACAACACAGCCTCGAGTGGCTGATCACCTGGCATCTGGGAGGATCTGACTTTCGAGCACCCTCGCGGATTCTCCTTCGATCTTGCCAAGCATGGCAACAGCGACCTTGGAATGGAGACAGGACCTCAGCGGGTCCTCTCGTTCAGTGTTTGCAGCGATGTACGAAACATGACGAAACTCAGGCTGAAAGCGCACGACACCTCGGTAGGCCGGGTCTGTGGCTGCTCTTGGGAGGTCATTCGTGGGCGTAGCCATGGGTGCAGACAGAAAAACGGTGGAGTATAGTGAAGTATACTTGTTTTGTTCTTGCATTCATTCTAATTATCTTATGGTTTGCTAGATGAGGGCATTCCATATGGCGTAGTATGTGTGATGTACGATATGTTGCGGATGAGATTTCTGTTGATCTATATATATGTATATACATACATATATGCATGGTTGTTTTTGTTTAGTCATTTATACATACCTCCCCCCCCCTCCATGGATCCCCTTGTGTTCTTCCTTTTTCGGTCGGCTATAGGGGTAATGAAGTTAAGCAAAGCAAGCCTGTAGCTCTAGGGCCGTAGGGTTTCAGGGCTTTAAGCCTCCCCACCCAGACCCTAAAACATAGGGACCTCTTGTTCGCTCCCAAGCTATCAACATGCCATGAGGTCAAATTTTTAGAAATACATTCTTATATTTTAATGGGCCTGGGCGGCCCGTATTTTAAAGATTTTCAAGATTTTAGAGGTCTTAAAGTTGCATAAACACCTTAAAGAATAAACGGGGAGGGCCCCTGGCCCCCCCCCCCCCCCCCCAATTCCTTAGGATCTTTGAAAACTGAAATGGGAAGCTCCCCTTTTTTTTGGGGGGGCCCCCCCCCCCCCGAACCCATTTACATTTTTTCCCCCCAGCAGTCTACTGTTGGGGTTCTAAATTCATTTTAAGGATTGCCGACATTCCGAGGACTGTTGCCGGGTTCCTGGGCTACTTGTCTCCCTTTGACTCCCTTTGTCTGCCGGGTTGCTGTGCTCCTCGTCTCCCTTTGTCTCCCGGTGTCTCCACTGTTTCTTTGACGTGCCTTTGACTGTTTGGGCTCTTCGGTGGTATAATTAAAATCTTTAGAATCGTAATATTAAACTTATTAAACGGTAAGCTGCCCAGCTTAAATTTTCAAAGGGTTTGCTAGATTTTAAAGATTCATCTGCGTTGTAGGGCACTTAGTATGTGTTCAGGCTATGAAAACGAGATTTAGGAAAACGCGAAAAACAGTACAATATATAGTAATACTCGAAAACAAGGCCTCCAGCACGTTTATATATTGATAAAATGTTCTTTGCTTGTTCTAGACGTCGCCGCCGGCTAGGCATCAGCAGCATCACTGGCGGCGGCATCGTTGCGGACCCACAGAGCACGGTTTCATAAGCCATCTCTGCGCAATCTTTCATGGCAGAAAAGCCCTACTCTGGATTCTTTCAGCTCTTCTGAACCAGAGGAGTACAACGCGAGCGTGTCGGAGGACCGGCGCATAGCCCCTTGCTTAGCGTTAGAGGGGGATCCATGCTGATCATGGACATTAGTCCGCTATTCTTCTTGTCTGTTCCATGATGTCGAAGTACTGTTTTCAGACCCTCAATTTCCTGATGTTTCGCTGAGGGCCTCTCCTCTCGAATCATAGCCGTAGATGGCTCCAGTGCCGGTGGCGGCAAGCGGATGAGGGAGAGCCTCTGCTGATTTCTCTTGCGGGAGGTCGTAGACACGCACCTCGTAGTGCGGGATGGTTTGGGTGTGCCCACGTTGCTTGAATATGAGAGTCGCGCGAGATTCACAAAGGGAGCAGAGATGGACTTCACAAAAGTGGTCGGTTTGGGATGAACTCGTAAGTTGCAAGGCATCGACTTCAGCAATGGCTTATACAGTAGCCTCAGCAAACGTTTATTCGGTAACAACGTGGTAGGCGGTGGCCAGCATGACGAACCAAAGGACAAACCAGGCTGCTGCTAATCTTGGCGGAAAACAGCTGAGGACCATCATCTCAGACCAGGCCGGTCTCTGCTCGGGCGCGGGCGCTAGGTGTCGGAGTTCTGGCATTAAAGCTAAGAGGTCGGTGTGGCTGCAGAGATGTTCAACATGGACTGCAAGAGCTTCTAGGAGTAGTCGTAGTAGAAGTCGTCGTAGTGGTGGTAATAGTAGCAGTAGGCGCAGTAGTAGGTGCGCTGCAGCATTGACTCGGCGTACCTTGAATGGCTTGCCAGCAGGATGTTTGTCATGCAAAGCCGAGACGCCCCACTTGGCCGTATACCAAAAGTTAGTTAAAGCAGGTTGATGGAGTACGAGTCTCGGCGTCGAAGGCGCTCATGGGCAAGTCAACAAGAAAAGGAAAGTTCATGAGTCATTGAGAATGCATACATCACCTTGACTTGCATCGCACCTAATAACGACGTAGTTTTCGAAGCACATCAGTTCACCTCACTGCAAGCTGCCTCGTCTCTCATGCTCCCATGGCGGTTTCCTTCGAGTGCCGTGGCTTCGAAGTGCTGAGAGAGGTTTCAGTAAGGCTGAAGTCTGTTAATAAGTCCGGTCCGGTCTGAGTTGGACATGGCACTGTGAGAGGCCACCGCCAAGAGAACTGAGGGAAACCACACACCAACATCATCCAACCGAGCCACGGTTCAGGCTTTCCTGGGTGTTTTGCCACATCACGCGACTCCGCACATCTCCCAGGTCGTCTGGCATGTCAGACACCCCGGCAATGGGAGGTGCAAAGACGATTGGCTGGGTAGGAAGCCTCGCCGTTCTGCTGAACAACATCCTTGGGCAGTGTCCCCAGGGAGTCAGATTTTCTAGGAGTATTTTGCAGAGTTTGGCACACCTCTGAGGCCGGGAATCGCCAACTTCTCCGGCCTTTATCAGCAAAGCGGCTGGTTTCCACCTACATTCCTGGTACTGGTCTGCGTGGCTTCCAGCATCTTCAGCGGTGTTGCTCGGGATGGCAACCGGGTGCTTCTCTTGAGCACAAAGGGCAGCTGACACGACGTGTCTGATACTCTGAACATGAGGCTATGCTTCTCGCAGCGATGCGAGCGTATCCGAACAACCAGGTGGGTTCGGAAAATTTCTAAGATTTCGGAATTGTACACCTTTGCACTCCGGGAGCTTGCGGGAAGAAAGGGGTGCGCGGACTTCAAAGAACCCACGAACCAAGTGAAGTAGTCATTTTTTGAGAATCTGGCAGAGTGGGCTCAGCGTTGCAGGGCTCGGTGTCGCATTCCATGTGCGGAGGGCGGGCAAAAGAAGGGCCAAGGGTCGAGGGCTTGGAAGCTTGTCGAAAGATTTGCAGAGCGGGCTGTGAAAACTATGGAGTTCATCTGGAGCGTCACGCGCGAGATTTGAAACGTGTATATCACGAGCGGCGATCAGACTCATGAACAGCACACTAGTCTGTGCAAAGTACGTATACGGACCTTATTGCCCGAAGGGTCAAGACAGCGTCGCTCCCGAAATCTGTTCTTCGTGAAGCGTGCCCTCTCAATGGCCCCAGGACTTCGACGTCCGAGTTGAGTACGGCACGTTGTGTCGGTATTACTTCTCTTCGAAGGTGTCTAAAGCATTCCAAGGCCTCTTGGCAGATTCTCGATTCAGCTGTGTTCTTCTTTCTGAGTCGATGATGGTCGATGTACAGGGACCTCAGATACATCACAGCACATCATAGGCCTATTCCAGCTTGCCATGCTCACCGCCAACATCAGCAACATCATCCAGACGGCGCAGGCAACATCCGGCTCGGGTGCTTTGTCTTCATCTCATTGGAATGGCGCAGTGGCAAGAACAGGTAAACTGCAAGTAGATATTTGGTTTCTCAGAGGAACATCACGATTCGTGCATGCGGTAACGCGGCAAGAGACAGCATTTGACAATGCTCTGAGCTGAAAAAGAAGTGCATGTCACGAAACCTGGGCAGCCGAAACGCAGTTCTTTTCGATGTCAGGCTGCATAGTACTTTTCAGAAAGACATGGGATGCATGAGTGCAGAACCTGGCGCCGGATCGCAAGACTGTGTTGGGCACTCAATGAAAAGATTTGCAAGCGACAAGCGCCTTCTTCTACGTATATTTTGGCATTCACAGCCTTCCGGCCAGGTCTTCGACTATTTTTTCGATACCGTCTTCGGGGACTCTTGTGCCCTGATGTTCTACCCCAGCTTCTTCCACGCCTTCTGCCAGAGCTCCAACCAAGATGTCACCCCCTTCGGGACAGGGAAGGCAGCGGCTCTGGAGTTTCAGGGCTTCGTTCTTCATATCAGTTGCATCGAGTCTTGTCGTCGCAGGGGGAGTATATGTTAGTTTACAGATCGTATGGTTGAACCAAAAAACTGGTTGAACTATCTGGTTCTTGGCTCTTTGCTCAGGTGGTCCTGTCCCTGGGGATGTGCAGCGTGTCCCTGTTTAGCATCCCCTTGGGCTACTGGAACCTCGAAGACAACGTCAAGGCTGGGCGGCCCACCCGCGCTCGGCGCACATGTCAGCTTGAGCATGTCGATGCTGTGCTGCGCTTCTTTTTCCAAGCTCTCCCTCTCTCTCTCTCTCTGTCTTTTTTATTTGTTTTGGTCCAAGCTCGAGATTTCGGATCTTGGAGTCCAACACCAAAGCAGACGCTGTGGCAAGTGTGTGGTCGCCTTTTTGACCCATTTGTGCTGTATAGGCTTACTTGACCATGAGGTTCAGAATGCCGCGTTGATCATTATCCTTCTGTCGCAGCTTGTCACCTCATTGCGTTTGCAAACCAGCCCTGTCCAGAGGTAGCTGAGGTAGCTGAAGCCCATTGAAGCCCGAAACCCTTTGTGAGGCTTTGGAAGGTCTCGGTCGGTAGGCTTGCAACTATGACCCTCCCAGGCTAGGAGACCCAAACCACGAAGTTCCATTCTGTGAGGCCTAAACAGGGCAGTGGATTCAATCAACCCCCTCCCGCCCGAGATTCCTGCCAACATCTAGAAGGGCCTCCACACGCTTGCACGCAGAAAACCTAGTTGCCACGGAGTCCCGCCTTTGGTAGCCATGAAGTAAGTGTGACAAGTGATGTCGCGGAGCCGCGCTGCTTGCTTACTGGCTCAGGATCATGCTGTGGGTTCTGATCTTCTTCGCCTTGGGTCTGGAAGCCGACAGGGTACCTGCAGTGGGCTCCTCCCTTCACAACATGGGCAGCTCAGCTCTGTGGAATTCCTCAAGAATAGCACCCTCCACAAGGGCGCTGTGTTAAAAATTGTGACGGCCACTAAAGGCCCAGAATATCTGCAAATGGCCCTCCTATTCTCTGCTCCCGAGGCGGCACCATCCTATTCAACTTCATGCTGCTCAGCCCGATGGCACTGTGTGCTGCGCTGCCTTGCAAGATGGCTTGCTCTACTTCTGAGGTTCATCTCCACCGTTCCGTCCTGGGTCTGTGAGAAGAAGCCAGGCGTGCCCAGCTCAGTGAAAATAAGGAAGTTGAAGCAGGGGCTTTGTATTTTTAGGGTCACATCACGGCCTAGATCAGGGTTTTTCAGAGTCCTGGTTTGCATTGAGTATACTGTATGAGGGTTTGGGCCCCGCAGCGACACAGTCCAGAGCACTTGACAGTTGCCTGCAGGTTCCGTAGGATTGGGCCTCTAGGGCTATAAGGGTACAAAGAAGCGAACGTGGACACTGACCCAAGGTGCCGCCACTGAGGACGATCCTCGTGACCCTCGCACTTGCAGTGGTAGGACTCGTGGACCTGTCTTGTCAGGGCTGTGTGAGTCCAGAAGAGGTGGTGGAAGATTCTGGGAACCCTCCGTAAGTTGTTTGTCAGGATACCTGATGGTGGGCATCCTCGGTGGTATGGCCTTTACGCCCTACTTCACAACAGACAACACTTTGCTTTCTCAGCTGAACCACATCTCGCCTCAGGAGCAACGGACACACCCGCAACTGTTGATCATCTCTAATTCCCCCCGTCAGAAGCTGGAAGCCAGGAGGGATCGCAGCTGGTGAGGTCCACGGAGCCAGTGGCAGCAACAAGTTCTCCTGGAAGGGTTGAATCGGGATTTTGTTTCACGGCGCGTGGCAGATGCTTCGATAGAAGTGGCGAGCCTGGCGAGCTGAAATTAAGTGGGTCATCTGCCGTTGTTAAGGCATCATGCGACAAGTCAGACCTCCTGAACCACTCCACCTTTGGCCTTGGCATTTCTGAGATTTTCTGAGTCTGAGGCCTTCGTGACCGTGCAGGCCTACGCCATCTCGGCCAACTTGGCGTCCATCCCAATCTTCTCCATTCTCATGCGCTACAACCTGATCGAAAGCAAGCTTGTGGGCCGCAAGGCCACAGTGCTTGCAGAAGCACTTCGCGTCCGTGTTATGCAACGGTCCCTTCAGGTCGCCGGGGCAGCTGCAGTGCTTGTTCCCTTTGGGGTGTCCGTTCTGCTCTACACGGGCGAAGGTACGGAGTTCTCTTCTTGCGCAGTTCCGTGAAAGCGTGTAACCTTTCCTGCCCTAGCCGCTTCTCGCCGCGGTCTGCCAGTCCTTTTCAGGCTTCAAGAACGCAGTGGACTTCTCCGGTACCTTCACCTCGTCTTTCGTGAACCTGATGGCACCCAGCCTCTTCTTCCTGTCTGCGCTCCACATCATGCACGAAGACGACGTAGAATTGTTGTGTGAACATGTTTGTGAGCCATGTTGAGCCCCCTCCGAGGCTCAAGCAGGATCAAGCTGCCGTGCCGATGAACGCCCGCCTTGGCCTCGCTGAGGGATGTGCGAGAGCCGTCTCTGTTGCCTTCGACTTATAAGGTGAGTGCGTCAGCTCTGCAACTTGGTGAGCATTTCATGGCAACTGCAGGCCAAGAGACACTGTTGCAGCAGCCCAATGGACAAATCCGTGGCGAAACCAAGGCCGATGCAAGCCGACCGGTCTGGAAGACGTCTGCATGGGAGAGCCTGCGCTGCCAAGCGGCTGCGAAGCCGCGCCGCATGTGGCAAATCATCGCTTGGGCCCGCTGCTTGCACTAGTTGAAAGGTGCAGTCAAGATGAAGCCTTGCCTAGGTGCACTGCATGCGTGCATTTGTGTGCAAGCTTACCGTGCGCAGAGAATCCATCTTGATTCCAGGTGAACTTGTCCTTGATGGCGCTGTTGACAGCTGTCTCCATCGTGGACCAATTTGCGTAGCAAACAAACCTTTGTGATCTGCATGGCTTGCTCCCCTGGTGCGAGGGCACCGGGGGTTTAGCGTTGATAGGGTTCAATTGTGAGATGTCACAGCCTTGCCTATTTATGTGGCATTGCTGACGGCAGTCCGCAGATAGACATGCCACCAGTACCACGTGCGACCCCCAGTTCAGCTGAAACTCAGTTGGAGACGTTGTGGGTGGATTTGCGAAGGTGGCTTGCCGAGCAGGAAAATTCAGTAAAACTCAAGGTGACGCCTGCAATGCGAGTGGGATGTCCAGGGCAGACATAGTTACATACTGCATATATATATATATATATATATAGCCAACAATGCCACAATGGATCCTGCAAATCCCTTGAAGTACATTAATTTCTTAGAACATGCCATATATGTATAATTTCAGAACTATATTGCAACATACCCTCTACACAATGCCGCGCCCGAAACACCCTAAACCCTGAACCCTATAAACCCCAAACCCTTGTTTGGGGTGGTGATGGGTTGACTCGTTCAAGGATCGACTGACCCAGAACATTTTTCCCCTCCGAGAAGACCAGAAGTCAAACCCTTCTTTGCGGTTCGGCCAGCTATGCGGGAGCGGATAAAACATCCTATACACCCTAAACCCTAAACCCTATTGAAGCCGTTTTCCCCCCTGTGCCCCTGTGGGGAGGCCTTCGCCTTGACGGTGTTGAACTGGTCAGCGCCCAGTGACGGCTGAACATCCGGTGAGAGGGCGAGATCAACAGTGTCCACATTTATCTATATATTTATACATATATATATGTATCTATTTATACGTATGTGAATACATGATATAAGTTCATATCGATGCACATGTACATGTATATGTATGTGTATGTGTATTTGCATATGTGTATGTATATGTGTATGTACATATTCAATGTGTATTTAGATAGGTACACATATATATATATATGTATCTTCATTTATTATACACATGTTGTATATTGTATTTCTTTTGTTATGTTGTATTACGCTTACAGGAGCGGAGTCTTGTTCTAGGATGCGTCAGTCGCAGTTTCCATGCCACGAAGAAGCCATCCACCGATCGAGGTCTCAACGGCCTTGAGAAGCCAGATGGCCCGTGCGGTCAACAAACTTTCACTTTTTCATGCCACAAGCGTTGAATGCGGTGAATGTGTTGGAGACTGCCCCCCAGCCACTACAGTAGGTGGAGCGTAAGAGACGAGTAAAAGACCGCAACATATGCCTTTTTCAAAAAAGCCAGCTAGTGGGCGGGGGCAGTCCGCAATGAAAAAGAGGCCAGAGGTCCAAACTCGGCAACCAATTCGTTTGTCACACGATCGTTGAAACAGCAGGCCCCCCCTCCCGAATTAGTATGAGAGAGAGAGAGAGAGAGGGATCCTTTTCTCAGCTGTTGCATTGAAGGCTTCGAGATAGAAGGGGCCTCTATTGTTGTAAGGAAGTAGAAAACGCAGTGATTGTAGCGATTTTGGGGAGTGGGGCTGCTGCGATCGTGACTCCGAGCCCTGTCCATTGAGGGCCCCTCGAAGCCAGGGAAACAGCGTTGCTCTCTTTGAGAACCCCACTGTGCCATCAGGTGGGGATTGAACTCAGGGCTCCCTTTGTGACTATCTTGCGGGTCCTGCTGTCGAATCTAGAACAGCAAGGCATGTTCTGCGAAGCTTCGCCTTGTGCTTGCAGTCGAGCTTGATGGATTGAAAGCCAGGGAGCTTGGAACAGCAGCATGGTCGGGGTGTGGGCCTGAGAGCGCAGAGATTTGCTGAGAGCACCAGAGACACGGCTCCATGTGGGGGTTGCCTAAATTAGGGTTACTTCATTATTGAGCCTTATGTCCCATTATAAGGGGATCCTACTCTTAAGGGATCTATATTGGGGGCCCCCCAACTTTCGAAAGCCCCCATGTGTGATTGGACTTAGGTTTCCCTTCAGCTGGGGTCCGGCCTTGCCTACGCTTTCAAGCCTGGACCTCAGAGGGGCTGCCTTGTTGTGGGACCTCTTTGTAGACACGTGTCTTCCAAGAGGTTCACAGCCATCAAGCTCCTCCTGGGTGGCCCTGAGGAGCAGCGCTCCACTCAGGTGCATGGAGAGGTTGTGTGCCAGGTCAGGAAGCTTATTGTCTGAAGTGGCCCAAGGGCAGGTCTGCAAGAGTCTACAACCTCCAAAGAAGCCAGAATAAGAAGCCATGCCCTTCAGCGCCGCCTTTGGTTTCGGCTGCCTGCTGGGCACCGGGAAAGCGGCCACTGACAGAGCAGTTGTGAGGACGATCCCCCAACGCCAGCTCTACATGAGCGAGCCCAACCCCGCGTGGTTTGGCAATCGACCCAACCCGCCACCAGGTGAGCCGGGTTGGACAAATCGCAACTGGTTAAAATCTCGCTTCCACTTCAACTTTGCCGAGTACGATGGAGGGCCGGACAACTTCGGCGTCTTGCGAGTCATGAACGACGACCTTGTTCAGCCAAAGCGGGGATTTGGAATGCCGCTTCTACTGTTTTGGCAGGCTGTTTTCTGTGTGACACGGAAACAGCGCTGTTGGGGCTCCATTCCTTTGAGCCTAGGCACCCTCATCGCGACATGGAGATCCTGACCTTCATTATCCAGGCACAACCCTTGCGTGTTCCAGTTGCTGAAAGCCTCTAAATGCGCTTCACTTGGGCTGTTTTTGTTTGCCAACGGAGCGAGTGCAGCCCATGCCACACGTAGCCCTCGGCCAGGGCCACCTGACCCACAGGGATTCCATGGGCACAGAGGAAACGCTGGGCCGCGGTGGGGTGCAGTTCATGACAGCCGGCACCGGCATCCAGCACTCGGAGCACAACTTGCAGAGCACGGCCCTGCGCTTCGTGCAGTGCTGGGTGGTGCCAAGGAGGCGGGGCCTGCGGCCAAGGTACGGCTCCATGACTGGTGGCTCGGAGGCTGAGGCGGGCGCCAATGCAAGCATGCACGTTACACTTGCATCTGTAACCTGGAGCACCGCCTCTCCATCTCCCCGTTCACCAGGTGGAGTCAGGTGAAGTTGCTCTCCGAACCTCTTGAGATCCCCTGGTATGGTTATTGGGTACCTGATTCCATCATAGTACCGCAGCTGGGCCTTAGAGGCCCTCTAAAGCCCCTGAACCCTAGCTTACACTAACCTGGTTCGTGGAGCGAAAGGGAGTTCATGGCCTATAGGGCAGACCTCTTATGTACAGAAAGCTGCAGGAAGCGCGCCTTAAGATTCTTATCATGCGGTATGGAATGCAGAGTGATGGGACCTTGTACTGCGGAGTTAGTCAGTCCAGGCTTTACGTCGGAACCAGTGGGCCCACATCGCCTGTGATGCAGAGGGCGGCCACAAAGCCCCCGTCCGAATCTACCAGGACTGTAACGTCTTCCTATCCGAGGTCAGCCCCCACACGACCCTCCCAAAACTGGATCTTGAAGCCGGACGACAGGGGTATCTGCTCTGTGTGGAGGGCAGTGTGCAACTAGATGGGAAGCAGCTCCAGCAGCACGATGCAGCGGAGCTTAAGGGACCTATGGGCCTGCAGCCCAGGGCCTCTGATACAGGAGCTTTGCTTCTGCTTTTCGAGATGGAACAGACATCTGACAGCAGAAGCTACTGAGCTGCTGAGCTGCTGCTGCAGCGGACCTGTGGTATCCTGTGGTGTTCTGATACGTTTTGATGCAGGGGTCTCTGGAGAGACGATGGGCCCCTGCAACCAAACCCAAACGCCGCATGCCTACACGCACTGGCCTCTGGACATATGATGGGCCCGATGCGAGGTGTGCATCCGCAACTGGCAGCCACTTCGAAACTAAGGTCATCTGTTCACAATGTGGACAGTGGCCCCCACAGCAGCAACGCAGAAACTAGCTAATGATAGCTATAGTCACTGAGAGTGTGGCACCCCACCAAGCTGCCAAGTCTGCCAAGGTGTATGTTTTCTTTGTACAGCAATTTTGTTGAGGCACGGTGCCTGCACCACAAGTGCACCGAGCGTCTGCCCCAAGTGCAGATGACGCTGCTGAGACGAGTGGGGCAACACGCGCGCCGAAGGAAAGCTCAAAAGGCAATGGCTCAGGCCATCCGCTGCGCTTCAAGAATGTGTTCATTTCGAGCAGAGCCTGCAGACATCCACAGACATGCATGTTTACGTGATTTGGTTTTGCCACTTCACTTGGTAGCATTAGGTAGCCATCCTGTTGATCCCTTTTCTGTTCAGCGACTTCTTGTCCTGAGGTTTGTGAACTTGGCCCAGCAGCCGCCCTCCAAGGCCCAGGTTGCCTTCGTTTGCAACCCGGCCAGGGCCCCAGTTCGTCCGACAGGGGCTTTCTTTGCGCGAACGGCGCGCGCGGGAGGTCCCTTCGGTTCTTTTGTGACTCTATATTAGATGCTGTATGTTCTTGACATTGAGCAATTCGAGATGCCAATGAATGGGCTTGCGGGTTGCGATTCCTTTGTTGGTCGGAGGGCTTGCCCTCACCTCTCGTGTTGGGGGCAGGTGACCGGCTTGGTGAGCCTCACCTGCGCATTTGTTGAAGATTCGGCGGCGATGCTTGCAGCAGGGTTTATAGGGGTGCACATGCTGTGCTGGGGCTCTCTGGCCAGGCTTGGCCATCTTGCCATTGAGCAAGGACTGGGTGTTGCCATCGATGCCCCTGGCCGTGGCTGCACGGGGCTTGGAGAAACCGTCACATGCCATAAAATGGAACTCGCAGCAACACACAATTGAAGCTAGCTTGTTGTCTTTGGCATCTTTGGCCAGACTTTATGTCGCGTTGAGGTGGCCGCCAGTGCAACCGGCATCTTAGTGCGACTGGGCGATATCTTGTACGGTTCCCCACCCCCACTGCCCGCCCAGAAGCCCGGAAAGCCACCCCCCGCCCCATGACGCAGCAAAATGAGACTGTGAAAGCGCAGCAAACCAAGGTTTCAGCTGCGGCTGACGCAGCTTACATCTCCTTTGACAGTACTGGCCCAAAGAATCAGTGCACCCGCTTGGAATGGATCTGCCCTGCATGATTTCGAGAGGTTTCCGTGCTTTCGATCTTCCACGACGTTGCGATTGCGCGGGTCTCAAGTTGAGAAGGATGCAGCGAGGGGGACCATAGATGATCATAGATGGTTTCTCGTCACATAAAGCGTTTCCTTTCCAACTCTCTGCGCATCGTTTCTGTGCTCTCCATGCATCTCATGGATTTTCTCATATTCTCCACCCAAGTCTTCTTTCTGCACACTAGTGAGAGTTGCATGAAATGAATGGGTATATCTGCCGTTCGCGCAGCATGTGGACCAGGTGCTCTACTTCCTGATTGCTGATAATGAAAGGCCCGCCATGCTGCTCGGTTTCACGCGCATCTGTCCCGGCGCTGCGCCTGACAACAAGCAGCAGGTTTACCGGTGCACAGCAGGCCGGGTATGCAGCCGATGCCTCGAGCCAACTGAAGGAGCTTTGTTGCAAGATGTTGCATGTGAACATATGCGGAGTGCCCAAGCAGATGTTGGAAATCTCTGGAAATTGTTCGATGCATCATCCTTCGGCCTCCTCAAGCTTTGGAATGCTTTGGACTTGCACCTCAGCTTGGAATGACATAAGACCTGAAGGACTGAAGGATCTCACTAGGACTTGATGCTGCATTTTGGTCTTTGGTCTAAGTGTGTTCGGAACATTAGGTACTCTCGGGGGATGCTCGCAATACCGTGCGGCCATGGCTTGGGCACAGCCTTGATGCAGCCGCAGGTGACTCAGGTGACCACGCGGTCCTGCGTGACGGCGCCCTGGTCATCCCGGTCATTGCGAGGGGCAGGCCTGGCCTTGAGCGCGGGCGGCCATGGCGTGAGTGGTCGGCGCAGCGCGCTGTCAGCATGGCTCTGTGGCCTGGGATGTGCGGCTGGATGTGCATCCATTCCCCGGCGGGCACGCGCAAGCACTGGGTCCAGCGAGGCGGTGCTTTGCAAGAACGCGGACCTCTCCGTGGCCTTTCCTGTCTGGAAAGGGGACCAAACCCGCGAGGCTACGGAGGAGCTGCTTCAAGAAAGTGGAGGAAGCGCCGCTGCCGGTGCGGAGGCAGACTGGGCCGGCCTCTGGCGTGTCAGCTACGCGCCGCACATCCGCACACTGGGGTCCCTTGCCCTCACACAACTGGATGTGTACTATGACATTGCCTGCACATCGGCTGGCGCATCCCCGGAGATCCGGTCCTTTGTTCGATTCGAGGCCGGGGGACCGCAAGTGCGATGTGAAGTGTCTTCTTTCCAGCCCGCATGGTTAGTTGTCCTTGGTTTTTTTTTCGGCGGTTCCTTCGCATGCCAGGGGCCATTTGGCAGTGGCTGGCTCAATGCGGCGGGAACACTTTCAACCATTGGTACTGATGAGGTTGAGGTGAACTTTTCGGAGTTCTGGATCGACGCTTGACTACCCGTGTGCCGAGTTTGGCGTTCGGGGTGTCTCTAAATCATGATGTAATCGTTATATGATTACTATGTAGGTCTAAGCTGACATGCAGGATCATGCAGGTGTTTCAGGGAGGGTTCCCGGGGCTTGGCTGCAGGATTTCAACACAAGACTCCCGCGACCGGCGTTGGAGGATGCCGATCGCCTGGGTAGCGACCTGGCAAAAGCCGCCTGCTGCACCCAAGTCCATGTAGTGTATAGTGACGAGCAGCCGTGATCGTGTAGGTATGTAGCGGTAGGCACCCGGGATTATCATGTACAATTATCGAAGTACCTAGGGAGATCGCAACCAGCGGCAGTTCCTTTTCAGCTTGTTGAGGTCTTCTTCGTGCGCGATCTCAGCCGCTTCCCGGCCGGGGCCTTATGTTGCTGTTGAGCGACTCCTGCCACGAAGTCCTTTATACCTTCATTTGTCATGTTATTCTTTATATTTTTGGGCGGGGCTTGGGGGCGAGCCCAGGTGCGCAGCCTCAACCTTCAGACTGGTGTCACAGTTTTCCGTTTCCCCCCCTTGGGGGTGGAGATCTCCGCCTGTCGCGTGGGAGCCAGCGGCGCAGCCCTGCGGCCGCTGAGTGATGCACGCTGAGGGCGGCAACAAAAAGACATAAAAAGACCTCTCTCTGGCATGCTTTATGTGTGCAGAAATGCAGCTTTAGCAGCTTAAAGTCGTGTATCTTACTGCAGTTGCACATAAACTCTCTCTTGTATATTTTTGAGGGTTTCTACATACCTAGAGAGAATAGTGCGAGAAGCAACGCGGCCATGCACTTATCTTACATTATCTTACTACCTGCCTAGGTCTCCGCTGCAGGGGCGCTCTTGTACAGCTGCGCCAAGCTGCGCCGCATCCCCAGCGTCAGGGTTCATAGGGTGGTGTGGTGTCCTGCTTCAAGTACATTCAAAGGGTGCATGCATAAACAGTGGATTTATAGGGACATAAGGTTTAATATGGGGTTTTCATCGGACGTTTCTTGCTACCCAAGGCTATTCCAACCTCGCGGAGGCCCTGTGGGCCGTGGAGAACTTGGAGGTGCGATGGGCTGGTTTTCATGGCTCCTGAGGAGACCAACTCCGACGAGATCGATTCCCAGGTGGAGCAAAGTTTCAGCATGACGCCGCTGGCAGTGAGGCTCCACTGATGCCAAGATGTGTGGAGCGAGTTCCTTGCTTTGCCGCGAGATGAACAGGAAAGTCAGTTTACAGCTGCACTCCTGCGCACTTGCATCCCCCTCCCCCCAACCTCACTCCCCACCCGAACCAACCAGCTGGATCTTTTCGGTACAACAAAGAAACATCAGTGGGCACCAGGGGATGTCAGTCTTGGGGGGAGGTTACTGCGCTTAAAGTGCAGCCCAGCATCGATGGCAGAATTTTAAGAAAGCTCGATGTCGTGCGCCCCACGGGACTTGGCCGCACTTGGCGCCAGGGACCGCTTCCTTCAAGGAAAAGCCAAGTCTGGCAGTGCGAGTTGTTCTGTTGGTTGACATCATACAGCACCCGCAGCTGGATGCGGCGATAGAGTTCCCGTGCTTGGAAGAGGAGCAACAGCTTGTGGAAAGTTTGTGGCCCCTAAGCCTCCGGCTCACAGCTGCTCCAGCTCTCAGAGGGCGGCAGCAGAGCAGCTTGGCTTCGTGGGACAACAGCATGCTGTACTGTGGAGGGCACGAGCTTTTATGAGTAACAGTACCAAAATCGGTTCTGAGGCGATTCGGTTCTCCCGTGCGATCCGCACCTCGAGGTGCATGCTGCAAGGGCCGTCATGTTCCGCCCCAAGGTGCGGCTTTCCAGAAGTCCCATCCGCTCTTTGAGACTTTGAGATCGCTTGAAGCGCAGGCGGTCAACGCTCTCAAATCAGCTCTGGCTTCAAGCTTATATGGACCGTTTCAGATCGCAATCTAATGCAATCTACCACTGCCAGTGAAAGTTGCTGAGAGCTTCGCAGTTCCCCAGGTGAATCAGTTTGGTGAATCAGCGCGAAGCACGGTTGAATCCGAGGTGCGATGCCTTGAGATTGTGCCGATGTAGCACAGAAGTTAGGGACAAAGTCTCGTCAGGGATCGCACCAAGGTTGCATCTTTTCTGCGTGGCCGAACGCTGCACTCTCCCCAGACTTGACGCAATTGCTGTATCCAGCCTTCGTAAACGGGGCAAATGCACATCGGCAATGTCCATGCACGGTGGGTACAGGGTTCAAACTGTGAAGCTGTTAAGGCTGTTACGGCTCAGAGATTGGGAAGCCCATACCATGGGATGTGAAGCGCAGAACCACCCAGAAACTGCTTTAATTATGGTTTTGACATTGCACAGCGCCATGCAACGTTGCTGTGATCCAGTCGCTCTTCAACGGGAGAGCTATCAAAAAAGGTCACCCGTCCCTTCAACGATGGTGTAGTTTGTTGTACGTACTGGCACGGATGGAAGATCTCTAGAGGAACAGAACCCCCTGCACCTCTCGAAAATGCTGCGAAATGCACCTCGGCGGCCTCGGCGACCTGGCACTTGGCTCTGGATCTCCAGTGCCTTGCTGCTGCTCTGGAGCACCCCGTCCTCGAAAGGTTTCGTGGCGGCGGGCCCATGCAAAATCAGCCGGCAAGCTACGAGCCATGGAGGCACTCGTGGCATCTGTGTGCGTGTGACTGCGTGCAGGGGTTTCAGGGCTGTGGTTTTTTTTATGTGAAAACCGCGAAAAGTCAGGAAAGGCATCCAACCTGGATCAAGCCATAGCCTCGGATCCCTTCAAGAGTTGAGTGAGACTTCGGAGACGTGATCTGAAAAGTGCTTGCCATTGTGTTTTCTTGTGTGTTGCCTGTGTCCTAAGACCTTCTGGCTTTGCGCGCGCCGGCGGTCATGGTCTTCGGCGCCGACTACTGTGGCCCCTGCAAGGCCTTGCAATGCGGCCTCTGTGTTGCGCGCAGCAAGGGGGCACATGGTGGGGGCACATGGTAGCTGTGATAATTTGGGGCCTTTGCGGTCTCAGATCTTGGAGTCAATGCGGGGAGGGGCCCAGTGGAAGCAGACAGGGCACCTGGGGAGAGACGCACAAGTTGGACAAAAGACGGGTGGCTCCCCATGACCGCGTGGACGGTGGGCCAAAGTGTGAGCATTGAGACGCCCGGAAGCACGGAGCAGCAGACTGCAGGCGCTGGGAACGGCGGCATTTGAACCCACGAGTTTTGTATTTTTTTTCTCTCTCTCTCTCTCTCTCTCTCGAAGGGGACTTCTTGGGACTGACGGAACCGCTACTGTAGTGCATCGGCTTTGGAAGAGGGGCGGCGATGCTGCGGCGGTGGGAGGCTCACAGAGATTCGTGAGGGCCGCACAATTGAACACACCTCCCTACAGCCCAGGAGGAAAGGCCTGGTGAGTCCCTGAACGCCGCAGAGAAATAGAAGCAACAGCAAAGGAAGAGAAAGAATGGAAGACCCCTAAACCTTTGACCCTGGTCGTCTTCTGAAACTGCCCAGCAGTGCAACAACTTGGTGGTTGGCAAAAACCCCGGGCAACAACAGCCCAAACTGAAGAAGCGAGGACGGGAGTTAATGCTTTCTGGTCGCGGCAAAAGGGGCCCGGCGGGAGCAACAACTAGGAGGAGGAGGAGGAGGAGACATTTTCTTGTTGAGACAGTCTCTGAGTTCCCTCTCTTTGTTTTTCTGCAATTGGGAGGTGCTCTTGGACAGACTCCGTCGGCTACGCCTCCTTGGACCCGAGGCCACTTTGGCACACGTTATCACTTTGTACATGAAAAGCTTTATCGGTATGAGTGGCATACGAATCACATGAATCATATGAATCACATGAAGGCTTAAGTAGTCAATGTGGGCAGAGCGGACTCGGGTCTTGTATTTGATTTCTCTGATAGGGTGCAGGTTATAAGACTTATACGACAGCAGCACGGCCCCCAAGACACCCCCCCCCCTCCCTTTTCTGCGACCATTTCCACTGATCACAGCGGTGACTTGAGGGCGCCACCTATGTGGATGCGGAAGACCTGGCGCCAGGTGGCGGCGCGGCGACCTTGGCTGCAAGGGGGGGTGTAAGAACTTGGGCTGACTTGCGGGGGGATTTTTTTGGAGGGGATTCCTCGGATGTTGAAAGGACAGCCTTGTATTCAATGTCTGCATGTGTTCAAAGATCCTCAATTTCCGAAACATAAGAGCGAGGAAACACACAGAAAGGATAATGACAGCATCAACCAACCGACAAGATAAACTCAGTACTCAGCTTGGTTTCCAGGCAGCCCTGCCGCACAGACACTTGCCAACAGCAGGTCATCACCGACGTCGACGGTCTGTATTATGACCTGAGAGACATTCCCGTGGTCGACCGTGAGGGTCGCAATGAACAAAGCGCGCGCACACACACACACACACTCACCCAAAGACGCGGAAGGAGAATGTAGAGGAAACGGAAGATGAAGGCCGAAGAGAACATGGATCTGTGAAGACGTCGGTGTGTCAAGAGGACAAAGGACGTTGTCTGTTAATGGAAGCCTCGCGGAAAACTTTTGTTGATTAAATAGTTCGCATATATATATATATATAAATCTAAATACTTTTTCATATTCCCGAGTTTGGGCTTCAGAAGTCCGAAGAATCTTGCTCCCAGGAGCTGTTGAACGCGGTGCTGGCAGGGGCGCCTTTCAGCCCGCCACTGCCGGTGCTTGCGGTGCTGGGTCCTGCGGGCTTAACCCGCCTCGAAGCTGGGCAGGACAGGACGAAGATCATCAAGAGCACCGCCGGTTCACTACTGGCGGCACATGCCATATGATGTAGGGGGAGATGGGGCATGGGTGTGGCATTGGGAAAACAGTTATCAATTTACCTCTCTCTCTCTATATATATATATCAAATTCGAGGATATAGTCCACATACTCACTATGTATGATACATATAGATATAGATATAGATATATATATATATATGTATACACACACACATATATATATATGTATAGCTCTGGTCAATCTTGGAGTCCTGAGGAGCTGCTCGCCTTGGCCGATGACGAGCTAATCGCGCTGTGCAGTTCCTCTGACTCCTCTGCACGCAGCGATGGGTGAAACGTTGCGACTAGGGTTTAGGGTTTAGGGTTTAGGGGTTTGGATCGCCTTAGCCTTCGCGTTGCCAGACCTCCATGGCGAAGTGCCTGCAAAGCACTGGGCACACGGGCTTGTGCTCGCTTGCGCGGAGCAAGTGCGAGAGCACAAAGTGACGCGCTTTGTCTGGCCAACAACCCGCTCTATCTCTTGACACAGGGTGGATTTTGTATATATGTACGCGTATATACATATGTACATATATATGTATATATATAATTAACGCTGCAGCCACGATTGGCTTCAGGCCAGAGAGAGGGGGAGCAGGGCCATGTGAAGCCACAACAATCTTGTTACTTGTGGTGTTTCCTGTATACTAAGCTCAGAGTGACAAGCCCCGGAGTGAACGGCATAGACACGGGCGATGTCCGTTTCTTGTGGCGTGCAGCCAGCCGTGGCTTCGGCTGAAGGGTAGCAGGTCCAGTGGCCGTGGACGCCATGACCTTCCCAGAATGGTGCCCTACAATTAGGCATTCTATCATGGTGCTATATGGGGGTGCTTATACAGGAAAGGATTGAGAAATCTCCATGCGCTCGAGAGCCACCCAGGCCGTAGAATGATCGCCGGGCTGTCATTCCAGCCGACTTCCCCGCCGCCTGCACGCACTTAAGCAGCTGTCAAGTCAGTTTTGTGCGTTGTCCTACGGCTTGTGGTGTGATTGTCTTTTGCCTTGGCCGTGTGGAGGCGTGTCTACTGGGTCAAAGCGCATGTGGCTTCGGTCACATCACCCGGTACACTGAGTACAGTGTCTTTGCCCTCATCGTGCTTGGCCTTAGACTCCAGAAGCCCACTTGTCGAAGACAGATTGAACCCATGAGGGTCAGGGCCAGGGAGCCTTTGTTCTCTACTTGTGGACTGTTGTGGCCGTTTGGGCTCCATAGACTCTAAGATTGTGGAGCAGGATCTGCGATGGGCAACAGCGGAGGCAGCCAGAACTCTGCAAACATGGCTTCGATTGATGAGCTGATCAGCTCCAACGACATGGTGGTGTTCTCGAGCAGCAGCTGCCCATTCTGCCGACAGGCTTTGTCAGCTCTGCGTGATGCAGGTTACACACCAACAGTTGTCGAGTCTTTTGACCGAAGCGCCCTCAGTGCCAAGTGTGGCTCCACGAGCGTCCCCAAAGTCTTTGTCAAGCAGAACTTCATTGGAGGGTGCAACGATGGCGGCATGGGTGGAACCTTGCCACTCCTCAAGAATGGCAAGATCAAAGAGCTGATGGGGAAGTGAGAACTCGTGGTGACATTCCGGCACACCGGCACATCGGCAATTTTCGATGACATCCACACGTCCACGTTGCTTGTGCCTCAGGCTGCCGGCCCCTGCCACGCAAGGTGGGATGAGCCTGGATGGACAGAGTTTGTTCCGGCTACGTCGGCCGGGCAGAGGGGTGGACGTTTAACTTTTGATCATTTCGCAGCTTCGCTCGAAGTGGTGCAACATGGAAGAGGAAAAGTCTGGGATGCAACAGCTGAATCCTGCAACCCTGTGAACCCTATCAACCCCAATCCCCCTGCTAGGATCCTTTTGAACCTCACGAGTCTCCACGCGCTGCAGGTGCGTCTCCAGCCCTGTCATCAGCCATCGGACGATTGCACCGGCCTTCCACTTACACCGTTGAAGGGTTTATAGGTTTCGGGGGCCCGGGTGTTAGAACTAGAATTGAAGAGGCCCCTGAGGTGAACTCCAATCTGCAGTGAGGTGCCCCTCCAACGCCTTCAGTGCACCCGGCTCTTCTCCCAGCCAAGCACGACTTCCCTCCCAGCCTTCGAGCCGATTCGACAGGTTGGGAGATTTTTTTTGTTGGGAGATCTCCGTGCCTGGGGCAAATTGGGTAAATGCTTGATGAAAGGGTCTTGGGAGTGGCCCTCCATGCAGGTGTCTGCTCCTTGTGCAGTTCCGAACCCCTTCCCGCGCACGCCACGCCCGGCCACCCAGATTTTTTTTGAGCAGCGGACCTTTTTGCCTTTGAGAAATGCTGCGGGAAAGGTGTCGAGGTCCGTGAGCCCTTCCAGCCGACGCCACGAGTGACAATTGCCACAAGGACCTCCGGAATCTGTTTGCCCATTTTTGTCCCGAACCCATCTCAGACTCTCAGACCAGTCCCACCTGCATTGAGAGATGTTGGGAGCCGAAGAAGACAAGGCCTCGATTCAAATGCATCCGATTATTGTCGTCAGAGGCTGGCCTCAGTGGACAGCCCACGAAACACGGTTCCTCGGCATATCTCGGCCCGTGGGGGTGCGGGTTGCGTAGAGGGCTTTGCACGCTGAGATTGTGGCTCCGCCGGCGAGTCAGCAAGGGGTGGCGACGCCACCCGTGGAAGCGCATCTTCCACTCAAGATCCGTCGCACGGCTTGCAATCCCAGCAAGAACCATAGCAAATGCAGTTTGCAACAAGATTGAAACCCGTGATGCTCCGGCAGTCCCGTGTTGTGCCACTAGAGGAATTGCTCCCACGCCCCAGAAGGCTTCGCAGACGCGACTTGGCGCACAGAGTGCAAAGTGTAACATCCAGATCCAAGACCTTAGTCCTTGCTCGGCTTTCCCCGAGCATCAATATTACTATTCGGATATGCAAACATGCCATATTGATATACACATATTCTTCATGTAAGTTGCAAACTAGTACAGAGACCTTTTTGTTTTCTCTCTCTATATATTATATGTTTTGCTTTTGTTTTGTCAGTTTTCATCATTGATTAACATGCTTTGCTTGGATGATGTCGCCATCGCATTTTGCTTTGCGTTGCAAGTTGGTGGGGGGGGCGATGGGCTCTCATCTCCTCTCATCTCCAGGCCTCGGACTCCACAAGCGAGCTACAGAGCAGGCACGAGAGCTCAAGGGGGCTTCAGTGAGATGTAACTGATTTAAGGGGTATAAGGGGCAGTATACGGGGGGGTATGGGTCGTCTAAGGCGGCATGCGCTTTTTGCTTTTTAGCCATGCGGTCTGCACCCGCTTTTCTACAATCTTGCCGGTCGGAGGCAGTGGCTGGGTCACCCCTGCAGACCCACTGTCAAGCACAACGCCGGGCAGCAAAGGCCTCGAACGCATTCGAGCGAGCTGTCACTTGAGGTAATCACGCTTGCTGCCTACCTGCCGCCGCGCAACAAGTTTCCTCAAGACCCTAAATCTCCTAGAGCCCTGGATATACGATCCTGAGTTCTACTTCTGTATCAGTAGCTAGCAGAGCCTGGGAGGCATCTCAGTGATGCAGAAGCGGCGTGAGCTGTTAAAGCTGAAGGCGCAGGCCGTCCCATTACGGAGCCCGCACAGCCCCCGTTCTGTCGCAACGGCCATGGGGCCGAATATGGTATAGAATCGTCTGGGAGCCACCGGCTGTGACAAGAAGCACAATCTATTGCAGCCTAAACCCTAATACGATCTTAGAGGGGGTCTGCTAGGCGGGTGGCAAAACAAACCCGAATACGGATCAACGAACCTTGCCTGCCTTGTGCAAGCACGAGCGACTAAACCCTAAACCGTTTGCCAAGTTGACCCAGATGCCTTGAGGAGATGCGTGCCGTGGAGCGCCAGCTGAGACAGGCCCTTTGTTCTCGCACTGCGGGTAAGGCCTCGGATATTTCCTACCGAGGTTGGATGAGTCCACCCTCAGTCTTCAGCCGACATAGCGGTTGTCTTGGGAGGTATCTACTCCATAAATCAGGTAGATGGACCCTAGTCTGTACATCAGGCAGATGGACCCTATCGAGGTAATCTGATTCATGTGTCAGCCTGAGCTCCCACATGACTCAGTACCCTCAAGGCCGACAGCGGCACCTTGACGCCTGGTACTGCACACCTGCTTCGGAACCCATCCACGCAACTCTCATGACCCCCCCCCCCTCCGGAAAAAGAACTCCCAGACCTTCCAGTTGCAAATCGTTATCTTCGAGCTGGAGAATCTCCAACATATAATCATGACAGTATGACACGCTTAGGGGATTGAGGCTTTGTAAGCTTGTAAAGGCAGAGGCGGAGCGCCGGCATGCGGAGGCGGAGCGCGTGCGCTACGAGGCTTCTGTTTCGAAATCTTGCTTAAGAGTACAGCAGCAGGAGTGACGAAACAATCTGGGACCCATAGGCAGCTCAATTGGGTGCTGTTCCAAAGGATCAAGGGGTATAAGAGCCCATTCTGGTATGCACAGATCTGGCAGAACACCTTGGCAAACACGAACGAGGCGGAGCGCCAGCGCGCGACGCTGCGCCAGCGCAGTGAGGAGGCGCAGCGGAGGCAGCAGGAGCAGTCGGGGCCTCATGCTGAGGTGAGGGGGGGTTGAGGCGGGGGGGGGAGGAGCCTTTAGGGTTTAGGCTGAGGGATGCTTGCATTTGAGGCAGCTTGCCAGGAATGAGTGGACCAGTACCTACAATTTCTGAGCGATGTGCGAATCAAGGTGATCTCAGGCTGTGCTGTCGCACGTGCTCCTGTCTTTCTCTTGAGATTAGTTTGTTCACACTCGCGGATCGTCTTTCCAGCGTGTCACTGCCCTGTGCCTGAGGCGAGAGAGCCTGGCATTTGAGCTTCGCCGTCTGGCAGAGGCTGCGCTGCCAAAAGCACCGGCGTCTGCATTCTCCTCCGTACCCTCGTCCGAAACCGCCACTTGAAACTTCTCCTCAAGGTTCCAGATTTGGTTTGGAGTTTGGACCATGCAAAGAGCACTCCGAAGATTCCGAACCCATTCCCCAGCTCTTGTCAGAGGCGAAGCGGCAGGTCCGCCGCGAGGAGGCCAAGGAGGCCAGCAACACAAGAAAGAACCACCAGGATAAAGCACAGGCTACGCTGAGAATACAGGTTTACCGTTGGAGGAAACTGGAGGCTGAGGCCTGGGCAGTGTAAGAGTATGATGGAGCCAGGATGTCCAAGACGTGAGCTGCAAGCTGTTGGGCGTTGGTTTGGCATAGGAGCATCCCAAAAGTTGTTGCAATGCAGGTGGAGCGAAAGCGTGCAGATGCCCAGAAAGCTCGCCAAGAGGCAGCCGCGAGACGAACGCAAGGATGGCGGGCGGCTGCTCTTCGGTTTAGGTGACAGTCTGGAAGGTTCGGCTAGGACTACGGCCCTATCTTCACGGTTTGCTCCATAGGCTCCGGTATCTTTCGCTGCTGCTCGATGCACCGAAGCTTGATGTTTCTTTTTCCGGAACTCCGTGCGCCTCCAGGAAAACTGCTCGTGGTGGAGGAAAAGCATCGGCTGGCCGAGGAGTGCGACACAGCGGGACATGTCTGTGAGTTGGGGTTTTAGAGGCTTCCAAACCACCTGAAACTCCAAACCTAAGTCCCGTTCTCTGTGTACTGAAGCTCGACCAGTCTTGGCCTTCCTGAGAGTCGCTGATGCCACACCTATCAACCCTGTAAACTCTTTACAGCCCCGTTTCGGGCATAAACACGCAGTCCCTTATTCTACCATATTCTACCCTATGTAAACCCTAAGAGCCCTAATTTTCAGGAGGCCCGGCGCGTCTCGGAGGAGTGCCGCAAGAAGAGGCTCAGCCTGGGATCCGACTCAGGTGGCTCGGTGAGCAGTGTTTGCCCATGCTTCCCTCACAAGGGGTTTAGGGCTTTAGGGGCTCTTAGGGTTTAGGGATTCCCGAGTCTGCGAGAGAGAGAGAGGGGCTCTTAGGGTTGAAATAGGGTTCAGAGTTGAGGATGTCAGATTCTGGGGACTCAACATGAAGTCCACAATGCACGTTTATGTAGGCATTGGGGGAGGGGAGAGGGGGGGGAGGGGGGGCAGTCCCCGCTTTAGGGTTGCTTGCTTGCATACTTCTTTGGCAGGGTAGGGCGCGCTTGATAAAGTATGGCATTGAAAGCCTTCCAGTTATCGGCTGGTGGTCTCTTCACGACCTGAGCAGCAGGTGCATGTAAATTGCTCGAGCCATGTCAAAACCGAAGCCGAGCACCACAGATCTGTGGAGCTGGGAAGTGGGACCAGCCAGATACAGGAACCTTTTCTCTCACCTTGCTATGAACATGGCTGCCGTTCCGTTGTTACCGACAGAGTGATCGTGGCAGGTTTCTGGCTAGTAGCTGGGCAAGCCTGGTGTTCTGCAGGGTGGGGAAGCGAACCATGTTTCAGCCTTGACCATTGATAACAACTGCTCACACAGAAATAGTTCGTTCACATTATCAGCCCACAAGGTAGCTGGAGGGATCTGGAGGGCAAGTAATTAGAGTAGAGGGTCACTGGGCGGCTGTGGTGGCTCAGGCCAAGCAAAGAGCCCCCGAAGCGAAAACCTCAGAGGCGGGGGGTATCTCAACCGAGACTTGCTGGTTCTTAGTTAGGAATGAGGGAAGTAGGGATACCCAATCTAAGCCCTGATGCATGGATAAATAACGGATTTTGATTGCGATAATGGTTGCTACAAACTAAGTACCTACTTCCCTCGTGCCCTATTACTAAGAACCGGCATGAGCTGAACTTGTGGAAGTTCACCCATTCGAGGTGGACGAAGAAGTGAGATCTTGGATGCAAGGCGAGATGCACATGGCGCATCCTGGGGCGAGAAGTCTTCAACCAAGAAAGTTCTTTGACTAAGCCGCAGGCTAACAGCAACTAAAGACTGTAAACACCCCACCCATACACAGTTCAACCGGGCAGGCGCAGGGCTGTTCTGGAGAGGGGCCTTACCCACCGCCGAGCAAAGAGCGTGTGGATGCCCAGAGGATCGCAGTGTTATGCGCTACTTCCAGTCCCACATTCTGAGAAGAAGGAAAAGAAGAAGAAGACCACGAGACGAGTAAGACCCCCTACTCCCGGAACCACCCTCCTCTCCAGTGCCTTTTCTCGTGGCGGTGTCTTTCTTGTGACCAAGTTTCTGCATCGAACACCGAAGTGCGGAACTTCGACGATCAACCTTACAAAGAAGGAGAATCATCAATCAGGAGTAGTTGTGCAGGCCCCATTTGGGATGTTTCTTTTGGGCGCCGGTAGGGCGACTCCTCACGAGAAAGAAGAATAGGAGAGTGACGGATGTCGTCTACATTCATCCATACCATACCATCACCTTGCGCACAGTTGCAGTAGCACTACTTGCCCTGCATTCATGTTCTGTCAAGGCCGATGCCGCGCAGGAGCGCGAGGCCTGGTGGGGTCCCACCCACACAGAACTGTTTAAAACGTTGCACCCGGAAAGGGCTTGCAGTGCAAAATTGAAACGCTCTCTGGCGCCCAACATGTCGCAGCTTTGCCGACTGCGGAGTTGTCACTCCAAGGTGTTCATCGTGCAAAGACATCTAAGCTTGCTGTTGGCAAGTGCGAGTATGTACCTAGCGCAGAAACGAAACTCCTCGGTGATGATGCAAGACACGGCGCTCACCTGACACGAGCTAAGCGATGTTAGGGCATAAGGGTCCTCTCCTCTTGGAGCAAAACTCATGCCGAGTTTCTCGCCTGAGACGTCGAGAACCCGTTCTTCGGGTTCCTCAAGTAGTGATGGCGAAATCAACACATCCGTAGACAAGTCGATAAATCAGAGAGAACCTCAATCGAAACTGAGCCTTCGAAGCAGAGCAAGAAGTGGAGAAGTGAAGAAGCGGAGGCGGAGCAGCGCAAGGCCGAGCAAGAGAAAGAGCGCCTCGAGAAGGAAGAGGCCCAGCCAGGGAATGCAATGATCTTTGGAGAGACACGGTGAGCAAAATGAGAGGTTTGTGAGGGTTTCTGGGGCGGGAACTTCGCACCAAGGGCCACAAGCCACAAGTCCATCATCTGCCGTATGATCGTATAAATATACTTGACTGCCAGATGCAAAGGCCCAGATGAGCTGCAAGTCTTGTCTAGGCTCAACTCTCAACTTCCGAAGACCTTGGCTCAAGTCATGAGATGCCCACCATAAGAGAGGCGCAGCTCGCCCACGCACGGAAGCTGAATGCGGCTTTGCCTGCGGGGCCGGGCCCAGAAGATGAGACCTTCCGGGAGGCCATGTCTTCGAAGTCCAGTTCGGATGAGATGCCGCCTCTAGCATCAGTCATACGTGATCCCAGCGAGAGCTCCGAGGAGAGCACCGATGACGCGCAGATGCCGCCCTTACACACAGTACATGTGCCAAAGCTCGCGGCCCTCGCGGCTCCCGTCGCGGCTCCCGTCGCGGCTCCCGTCGCGGATGCGGCGGACGATGCGGATGCGAGCTCTGACTCGATGCCACCCCTGCAGGCTCGAGACGGGGAGTCCTCGGAGAGCTCAGAGAGCAGTGACGAGGACATGCCGCCTTTGCAGGCTGCGCGCGCCCAGGCTCCGCGGGCCCAGGCTCCGCGGGCCCTGGCTCCGCGGGCCCCGCCGGCCCTGGCGGCCCCGCAGGCCCCGCAGGCCCCGCAGGCCCCGCAGGCCCCGCCGCTCCATGAGGACGACTTCTCGGACTCCGACTCGGAAGACTCGATGCCACCATTGCAGCGCTATGAAGAAGGTGAGGAAGCCGAGGAAGCCGAGGAAGCCGAGGAAGCCATGCCGCCGTTGCATGGTGCGCCTCCGAGTGTGCCTCCAGGCGTGCCTCCTGCGGTGCCTCCTGCGGCGCAAGATGCTGAGAGTGAGGGCAGTGCGAGCGAGAGCTCTAGGTCCGATGACTCGATGCCACCCCTTCAGGGCCATGAGGAAAGGACGGATAGGAAGAGTGAGATCGAAGAGGTCGAAGCTTCTCCTGAAACTGGTGAAGCGAGTGATGACTCGATGCCACCTCTCCATGCGCAAGAGCCGCGAGAGGATGAGAGTGAGGGCAACAGCACGGACGAAGAGGCCATGCCGCCTCTGCATGGCGTCCGCCCGCAAAGTCCTGTCAAAGCAGATCAGGACGGCTCGGGCTCGGACTCGGATTCGATGCCGCCCCTCCAGCGGGAACAGCAGGTGGAGTCGAATGAGGGTGCACCGGAATTTACGGCCGCCGCCGCTGATGGGGATCCCAGCGCAAGCTCCGACGACTCCATGCCACCACTTGCTGCGCGGCAAGATGGAGAAGACGGGGAGGACGGGGAGGACGGGGAAGATGGTGATGATGGGGAGGAGTGCGCTGAGCGGGAGGCGCCCTTGTATGACCTGCATGTCTCAGCTGCTCGCAGGGACGCGCCAAGTGAGCCCTCCGGCTTTCGGGGCGCCCAGGTCTTTGAGAGGGCTCAGGATGAGGAGCAAGCAAAGGAAGATGCCTCCGATTCCGAGTCTGGCGACTCCCTGCCGCCCCTCGAGTTTCTCAACCTTCAACCCCAAGAGGAGGACCTTAGCATTGGAGATTTCGTCCAGCTACGGGGCCTGAAGACACCGGGCTTAAACGGCCAGCAAGGATATGTCGTGGGCTTGCCTCCAGTCACCGGCAAGGAGAAGCGGGTCGAGATCAAGATGGCCGCAGGCGGCAAGACCTTGTCCGTCAAGATCTCGAATGTCCAGCGCTGTGCCCCAAAGGTAAAGAGTCGACGGAGGAGTCTCCAGAAGGGTGACGAAGTCATCGTGAAAGGCCTGAGCAAATCCGTGGAGTTCAACGGCCAAAGGGCTTTGATCATCGAGGCCGAGGACCTGGATCGGGTCACTGTGGAGTTGCGCTCCGGACAACGCCTGTCCCTTCGCCGCGACAAGCTCCAGGCTGTCTCGGAAAGTGACTCCGATGGTGAAGATGGTGGCCTTCCAGGCGCAACGGCCTTGTCTGTGAAGACGAAGCCGAAGGTTGTCTCGGAACCGGTGGAGCCCTGCACGTTTCGAGTTGGCCAAAAGGTCTTCCTTCACCTCAAGAACAAGCCCGAGTTTCACGGCCAAGCCGTTTTCGTCCTCCCTTCTGACCCCTTGCGAGTCGACCCGAGTATGGTGACCGTCCAACTTGCCACTGGCAAGCGCATCATCACCAAGGCCACCCACCTGAGACCTGAGCCTCCGCCTCCGCAGGGAGGCCGCAAGGCAGGTCGTGGTCGGGCTGCCGCAAAGAGCCACGAAGAATCCTAGCTGGCCCTATGTAGCTGGAGCATGCTATAGAGAGACAGCGCAGAGAATGACTACAGTGACTACAGACTTGTCCATATTCTACCGTGACATGCACCTGACACAGTAGAGAGAACTCTAGATTCTAGATCATAACATGTCGTCTCTTGGGAAGCCTACGTACTGAAGGTAGTCCGGCCTCCACTGGATGCGCAGATCGCTTCCTCCCATTTTCTTGCCACCCTCGTGGCTTTGTTTGTTGTCTTCACTTCAGGGATTGTCCAGAAAATATACGGCCATCATGTCTTAAAGCGTATGAAAACGTATGACAGAAGAATAGTGTGGTTGTCGGACATGATCTGAGTTTCAGCACGCCGTGATGCCGTGCTGTACATAGGAGCCGTCGAAGTTTAAGCAGCTTAGTCCCCTAGTCCCTCTGTGCCTGACACCGTCGGGGTTTTGAGAGGAAAAAGGGAGCACCAAGGCCTTGCCATTTGCTTGAGGCATGCAAGATACGCCTACTAAGGTACGTTGTGACAGTGCCAACAAATAGTGAAAAGCAAGAACGATCCTGCTCTCCCGAAGCAGAGTATGAAGATCACGTGGATCATCCTGTCGCTCCACCTCAGGCTGAACGCCGCCGCCTGCGCCTCGAGCCCGTCGGCAGCAAATGGCCTGTGTAGACATGGCACTGCTGACGATTGGGCTAAGGCTGCCGGGCTTTTTTTGGTAGGGTCTTCAACCCCCCTTCCCAATGCCTCGACTCGCCGACAGTCCCTCAGCCATCTCAGACTCACCCGAAGCCGGGTCGGGCGGCTTGGCTTCGTGATCCCCTTGCTCTGCCAACAAAAGCACGAGCGCCCCCCCTCATGTTACCCGCTAAGGCAGCAGAAACGCCGGGCTGAGGAGTCCAAGCAGCGCATCCAAGAGGTGGGAGAGAGTCCTTAAAGGGCTTTTAACGGGTTGCCGAAGGAAGGGGGCTGGATCCAAGAGTTGAGCTATAGTTTCGCCCAAAGTCTCTAGCAATCTCTATAATAAACCCCCACACCCCAAACCTTATAAGTATACGAAGACCTTAATTCTACAAATTGTCCGAATTGCCATTTGGCAGGCCGGAGGCGCATGGCACGCTGTCCTGGGCCTGGCGGCCACCGCCACACTCCAGGAAGTGAAGTGGCCGGGCAGCGGTTTGCCGCAGAATTTGCTGCAAAAACCCACCAAAATGTACTACTTCTACTTTATTTTATTATTAGAAATTCATGATCCATACGGCAACTTGCCTAGATCGCAGTTCGCTTGAGTTGGCTACCATTTGAGGGCATGGGCGGGGGGCGGGGGCGGGGTAGGGAGTCTCTATTCTGTATAGACGCTTTAAAAAGCCGAATTCTCCTGGCTTTGTGGAGGGTAGGTTTTGAAGGGTTCCGAGACAAGTTTAAGCCCAGACGTGGTGAGGGCTTCCAAATGTCAAGGCAACATTCGGGGCAGGACACAAGTGGCTTCTCGGGTTGCCGATATGTTCCCCCTCACGACCAAGGCAGGCCTTTAGGGACCTGGCGCTGCTGCATCATCCGGACAAAGGCTTTCAGAATTGCGATGACACGCTCCTTGGCTTTTGCTGCTTCTGTGGCGGTGTCACAGCTGCGGCACATGGATATGCGTAATTTAAGGCATGTACAGATGGACACAAATATTTATAGGCGTGCAGCATACACACGTCTGATCTCATCTGACATTGTTGCTTCCCCTCTGCAACTCTCAGGTTTCGCACCGTGCGACTGGCGTACCAGCAGGCGATCGCCAGCTTCCAAGAAAAGGCCAAGGCGCCAGTCTCTGGGCCTTTATGATATAGTAACATGAATCAACTACAGATACTCATTATATGTAAGTATTATATATATATATATATTAAGATGTAGTCATATGATCAGTGAAGGTTCAGGGCTTATAGGGTTGGTGAATGCTGCGTAGGAGAGCGTGCAAGCCTGATGGTATCCGAGGTTTTGCTTTGTTTTTTTGTGGGGGGTGGGGCTCTTCAGGGCTGAGACTTGCGAGAAGCGTAGTGGTCACCCACCAGGCAGCCGGAAGCTGAGAGAGGCTGTAGCGGGGATTTGGCTAAGTTGCGTGGAAGGACATCGTACACTGTGCACTGAATGATGAATTGAATTATGGCCGATTGTCGACACCCGCACACAGCGATGCCGATATCTTTTTTTTTGTGGGTGGCCCACCAGAGACCAACCCATGCCTCACCAACTCATCGGAGCTTTCTCCACGCAGTTGGTGGAAGCGCGCGGCATGCGCGCATGAACTTGCGAATCACAGTAGGCGAGCATCGACGCCACCAGGCGTCCATCATGCTCCAAATTAGCGCGTTGGCTGTTGTAGATGCCCCTGGATCGAATGACTCTGAGAGGTCCCATCATCATGCCCTGTCCTGTCTTGCCCCATTATGCCATCAGCTGGTGATCGATGCGCTATCAAAGGGGGCCGGGGGTTAACTTGCAGGAGAACTGGGCGCGAAGCAAGCGCAGCCCGGTCGGCATTGCATCCTCTCACCTTTTCCCGGCTTAAGCCGCCATAAAGGCAGTTTCACGCGGGCAGAAGGCTTCAGAAGGCTTCAGAGAATGTGTGTATCGGTCATTGCGAGTCGTGCCGAGTCGTTTTGCGGACATACATATACACATATACACATATTCATATACTTTTGCACAGACCTCTCTCTATATATATACACACATACAAATACAAATATATATATATATATATATATTATGTATATTATTTATATTTATATATTTATATATATATATATATATATTTATTTATTTATATATATTTATATATTTATATATTTATATATTTATATATTTATATATTTATATATTTATATATTTATATATTTGTATATTTGTATATTTGTATATTTGTATATTTGTATATTTGTATATTTATATATTTATATATTTATATATTTATATATTTATATATTTATATATTTATGTCGACATGTATATTTATATTTGTATTTATATTTATATTTATATGTGTATTTGTATTTGTATTTATGTATGTGAATCATATGTACGCATCTTATTTTCCCCATGTAGACTTTATATGGTGATTGCGTTGAGTTTTAGTTTAAGCGGTTGCAGGAAGCAAGTATTTTCAACTGTATAGAGAAACCTACGATGCAAAGTTGCAGCATGGACTGCGAACTGCTGAAGACTTTGCATGACATGAACACAAGGTTGCATTCAAGCCAAATCTACAACCGCGTTATCGATTTCTGTTGCGTATATGCAGCACACAAGGTCTTGATAGATGGAAAGATGAAAAAGTATCGTCAATACCGATGTTGCCGGATGAGACCAGAAGTGCTGGTAAGTATGGTTGAACTTACTCAAGCGCAGAAGGAGAAAAGGAGAGAGGTAGATCGGAGGGGAGACTCAATACATATATATATATATATATTTGTTTTTTTTTTTTTGGCGGGTGCGGGCTGCCCCCCCCCCCCCCCCCACCCCTCCCCGTGGTGTGGTTGTGGGTTGGTTTTAGGGTTTAAGGTCTGGGGTTTAGGGTTTTCGGGTAGGGTTCAGAGTTCGGGGTTGAGCGGTTTTAGGGTTTTTGGGTTTTTGGGTTTTAGGGTTTTAGGGTTTTTGGGTTTTTGGGTTTTTGGGGTTTTAGGGTTTTAGGGTTTTAGGGTTTTTGGGTTTTTGGGTTTTTGGGTTTTTGGGTTTTTGGGTTTTTGGGATTTTGGGTTTTTGGGTTTTTGGGTTTTTTGGTTTTAGGGTTTTAGGGTTTTAGGGTTTTAGGGTTAAGGGTTAGGGCTTAGGCTACAGGGTTTTAGGGGGTTGGGGGGGGGGGGGGGGTGGCGAACCGAGAACCGGGATCATATATATATATATATATGTACCTTATGCATGTTATGCACACAGAGAGAACTTGTATATGCATATAGACATCTATATATCCATATATATATATAGTCAAAGATGGCCTGTTTATTTCTGTCGCTACATACTTGGTCAGAGCTCCGAGGGCCGAGCATCGCACGCCGGTGTGCGGTGTGTATGTTGGCCCGCTCCCACTCACGCGCTATTTTCGCCACCACCTCCACTGTGCCTCGCGACGCCTAGGCGAGAGCAGGGGGCAGCAGCAAAAAGTGATGCAGAGCACTTTGCGAAGTTTGCAACTCCGAGGGCACCCTTACCCTCGCCACTGTCCCAACTTCCCTTGAAGCAGCCGCATGCGACTGAGGCTCGTGAAGGACGATCTCGACGCCATCGAAGATGGCATCTTGAACAAGCTTCGGCACCAGCGCCAACAGGCCCGCCCTGGGGAGAAGAGCAACAGGTGGACCTTGCTGGAGCTTTCGAGGATGCACGGTCATGTGACTATTTTGTGCGATGTCTACACAGGCATGATAGCTGCTGACGGAGTAGTTTTCTGGCAGCGCCCTCCATGTTACCAGGGCCGCGCCGCGTCACTTCCCAGAGGACTCGGCGGTGCCGGTGGCTCACCAGTTTTGTGCAGAGGTCTCAAGTCTACGCAATGCTTGAAGTTGCGAGAGGAACCTCTATCATAGTTGGAGCTCTCAACGCCAGGTACCAGGCCGCTCACGACCCAAAGCGACGGCAAGGTTAGCAAGGTTAGCCACTCGCTGGCGGAGCGGCTGTGCGGTCACACTGTTGCAAGCTGTGTAATGGGGAACGCGGAATCGGCAGGTCGTGCAATTGCACATGTCCTCCACTGCGCCCGAGTTGGGTCTGCGGACGCGTGGACCTTGAACAGCCTCGAGACAGAGACACCTGCGAAGCACCATGCAGACGAACATGCAGAACGTGTTCGTATGAATGCTACAAGATAAACCGCTGAAAAGCTAGAACGACATGTTAACATAAAATAAATAAACCAAAACACATACATACATATATATATATATATGTGTGTGTATATATATATATTATCTTGCAGCCGTAAAAAGCCTGTGACACGTGCGCTGTCGTCTTCTCAAGGCTTCCGAAGCCGATCCTCCAGAAGCCCCAAGACTGCTTCGATCTTTGGCGCGAGTCTGCGGGCACAGACTCAGAAGAACGCTCAGGGAACTCTGAAATGCTGGGAGTGAATTGCCACTTTCATTCTACGACATAGGGCAGTAGCACGAAGAGCCAGTAGAGTCGCAAAAATACTGCCCGCAATGATGGGCTTGCAGGCTGCGCGCTATTGTTTCTTTTGTCCCGGCTTCCAGCAGCGTAAGGTATGACACGATGCAGCACGTGTCCGAAGAAGTCGATGCCCGGCTGCATGGAGGCCCCCCCCCCCCTCCTGAACCCCCACGATGTGTCTGAAATGGTGTCGAGCCTCATTCTTCCGTGAGAGGTAAGGTTCTAGCCCTGCGGTATGAAAATCTGAGGAGAAGAAGCGCCAGAAGCAGGCTTGATCCTCGGCCCGACCTGTGTCGAGATTTTAGGGCGTGCTGGTGGGCGGCGGAGTCGGGAAGGGAACGCACACAGCCGGGACCCGGGCGAACTTCCCCATGAATCTGGACACCTCAAGTTGATATCTTGCATATTAGGACCATTGACCCAAATTGACCCCCTTTTTGGCACCAAAGGAGGTATCCCCCCAAAAGGTGGGACGTGAGTAGTTGAGTAGAGTAGTTTAAAGATTTCAGCCTGGTTGAGTTCTTGTGCATAAGGTCATGTCTCCATGCACGAAGCACTTTCGAGTGGGTCATGCGATGACCCTGTCAGGTCAAGGCTGCCAAGTACCGGGAAGCCTTGGACTCGCAGGTGCAGCAGGCCCGAAGATCAGACTGTTATTGCAGAACATGATGCGTACATATATATGTATATAGATAGATGTCGCCAGCCGTATCCGTCAAAAATCAATACCCGCCTCCCCTCTCTCCCTCTGTTATCCGCAATTTTGTCAGATGAGTGTGTGTAGGTTGGTCCTTGACATGAAAGCAGACCTTCTGCAGATGTTCCAAAATGCGACGATACGCTTCGCATCAGCAGTTGGGTTCCCTGAGCCCATGGTTGCGACCTGTGGGCAAGGGCAGCTGGGTGGCGAAAATGGCGAAGAGCAGCTACAGGGACTGCTGCGGCTCATGGGATCGATGCAAGGGGAAACCTCAGAATACATGTTCAAGAACAAGAACACCGCTAGGCCGCTAGGCCTTTAGACGAGACATACACTGCATTGCGAGTGAAGAAATGGCATTTTCTGTTGCGGGCTGGAAAGCCAAAGACAACGTGTCACGTCCTCAAGCCAGTCGCTAAATCAGGCTAAATCGGAAGGACCGGGTAAATGTGGAAAGCATATGAAGCGTACAGAACGCTCGTATATGAAGACCCGCATGGCGCAGACCATAGCAATGTGGTGTCTGATCCACACCATGCAAGCTTGAAGATTCTGAAAGCTATCCCGCATCGCGGATGATGTCAGAAACACGTCACCAAAAGCACTGCCTGAAAACCCTGGCCCCACTAAAGTGGGGTTTGCTTTTGGGCCGGTTGGGGGGAGAAAGCAAACCCCCCGATCTCGAGCCGAAAAGCGGGATTGCTCTGATAACCTCCCGATTTGTTTCGGGCCCAGGGTTTATAGTTTAATTGTATTATGGAGCTGCCCAGGTACCGAAGCTGGTTGCAGCTCAAGTACCGGAGGGCTGCTTCATGTTACAGGCATATAGGCATCAAGTTCCTTCGGCCCTGGTATCATGCGGTCATGTCAAGCCTCAGGCGTCCTGGCTATGTCAGACTTGCTCGCCCCTCATGGCACACATATCAACCTCCTGCATCTCGTCCCGCCTTGCAAAACCCTGTAGGTCCTATAAACCCTAAACCCCAACCCCCTCCTGAAAAAAAAACAGAGCTTCACATCAGAGCGTAAACCCTAAACACTACTGTAAGGCCTGAAACGCTGAATCGCAGGGCAGGGTCAAGACAACGCGGCTTAGTTTGAGAGACCGGTCCCAGGTTCCCATCCTGTTCGGCCACAGGTTGAAAAGCTGAGACCACGAGGGCAAGTGGGGCAAGTCCGGGTTAGGGACAAGAAGCGGGACAAGTAAGGGGGAAAGGGAGCAAGGCGAGGAGGGCGGGGGGGCAACGGAAACCAGCGAGGGCGCAAGGGGGATAACGAGGGGGAAGTGGGGCAAGCAAAGTGGGGCAGGTGGGGCAAGCGGGGTATGCACAGGGAAGGGGCAAGTGGGGCCAGCGGACCAGTGGGGCAAGTGGCCCCGCTCCCGTCGCCCTCCATCTATTTATACATATGCATACTCGGCAGAAGCCGAGGAACAAGACCGCACATTTGAAGCCACCCGAAGACAACAACCACGAGATCTGCTTACTGCGGGATGGTAGCAGGCACAAGCGCAGCGCGAGGCGGAGGATGGATCTCATGGCATTTGTTCGTTCAATTTGTTTCCTTGTGTCTGCGTGTTGCCGCAGGAATTGGAAAAGCGCCAGGACCGGGCAAACATGCTTGCAGAGGCCGGCAGCATACTGTACAGTAGCCTGCACTTCTGGCAAAGCACGCCTCCCAGCTGCATCGACCCAGATGGAGCGTGCGCAGTCTGCTGCCACTGAAGAGTCCGTGACCCAGTCGTTCTCCGCAGGATGACAAGAATCAAAAAACTGGCAAGCTGCATTGCCCCGAAGGCTACAGAAGCAGCTGCGCCAGAAAGAAGTGCTCAAAGAGGCCACTGCTGGGGAGACTCTCTCCGTTCTGAAGGTCGTCTTTAATGTCGGATCCATGAGGCCACCGCGCAGCAGCTGGCGCGGTCCCAAGAAGCTGCACCGCAGGCTTTTCTTCGCAGCACACATTTTGAACACATACTACAACTGCATCAGAGAGTTTGACACAAGCAAGCTCAGAGGAGCGGGCCGAGCGACAGAAGCGGAGTGCAGCGCGCCGCGCGCTCCGAGATCAAGAAGCGCCGGGTGGCCCGGGAAGGATAGGGGGGAAGGATGGGTTTGTGGGTGCAGATCTCAAAGGTGCTTAAGGCCCTTATAGCTGAAAGCTTCGGGAATCTTAATTTTAATGGGCTTCAGATTGTTGGAGGCGAATGGCCTGCAGTGCAGTTTTTCCGAGGATGGATCGCACACTCGAGCAGGAGGAGCAGCAGCGCCAGCAGGACCCGGATTGAGAATCACGGTCTCATCACAGCTACGAATATGAGCCCTGTAGGCCGGACTTTAGGCCCAAAACAGGTTTCTTGCTCGCTAGATAAGGTACATATCATTAATCTACTGAGAGCATACAACGTGTTCTGTTTTTTGTCATGCAATTGTGTGTCTCTCCACAGATGCTATGATGACATAGTACCGACCGACTTGAGTCATGGCGTCACCCTGGGGCAAGGTTGACTTGAAGAGTACTGCGACAAACAGAGTG